TAGTGCTCAATCCTTCCAGTGGTAACCCGTGTGCTCTATCCTTCTAGCAGTGACCCCTGTGCCCTATCCTTCCAGCAGTGACCTATCTCCTAGATTGTAAGCTCCAAGGAGCAGGGCCCTCCTATCCCTCTTGTATTGAACTGTATTGTTGCTGTATTGTCTCCCGTTATATTGTAAAGTACTGAGAAAACTGTTGGAGCTATATAAATCCTGTATAATAATAATAATATGCCCTATCTTTCCAACGGTGACTCCTGTCCTTTCTCCTTGCAGCAGTGACCCCTGTCCTCTTTTTCCAGCCATGACCCCTGCCCTCTTTCTTTACAATGGTAACCCCTGCCTTCTCTCCTTCCTGCAGTGACCCCTGTCCTCTCTTTTCCAGTCATAACCTCTGCCCTCTTTCCTTACAATGTGACCCCTATCCTCTCTCCTTCCAGCGGTGACCCCTATTGCTCTATCCTTCTAGAGGTGACCCCTGTGCCCTTTCTTTCCAGTGGTGACCCTTGTGCTGTATCCTTCCAGCAGTGACCTATGTGCCCTATCTTTCCAATGGTGACCCTTGTCCTCTCTTTTCCAGCCATAACCCCTGCCCTCTTTCCTTACAATGGTGACCCCTGCCCTCTCTCCTTCCAGCAGTGACCCCTGTCTTCTCTTTTCCAGTCATGACCCCTGTCCTCTCTCCTTCCAGCAGTGACCCCTGTGCTCTATCCTTCCAGAGGTGACCCCTGTGCCCTATCTTTCCAGCGGTGACCCGGTCCTCTCTCCTTCCAGCAGTTACATCTGTCCTCTCTTTTCCAGCCATAATCCCCTGTCCTCTCTCCTTCCAGCAGTGACCCCATCCTCTCTTTTCCAGCCATGACCTCTGCCCTATTTCCTTACAATGGTGACCCCTGTCTTCTCTCCTTCCAGCGGTGACCCCTGTGCTCTATCCTTCCAGCAGTGACCTCTGTGCCCTATCTTTCCAACAGTGACCCCTGTCCTCTCTCCTTCCAGCAGTTACCCCTGTCCTCTCTCCTTCTAGTTGTGACCCTGTCCTCTCTACTTTCAACAGTAACCCCTGTCCTCTTTTCTTTCAGCAAGGACCCCTGTCCTCTCTCCTTCCAGCAGTGACCCCTGTCTTCTATCCTTCCAGCGGTTACCCTTGTCCTCTATCCCTCCAGCGCTGACCCCTGTCCTCTCTCCTGTGAGCGGTGACCCCTGCCCTCTCTCCTTCCAGCGGTGACCCCTGTTCCACATCCTTTCAGCAGTGACCCCTGTTCTCCCTCCTTCCAGCGGTGATTCCTGTCCTCTATCCTGACAGAGGTGACCCCTGTACTCTGACCTTCTAGAGGTGACCCCTATCCTCTTTTTCCTTTCAGCACAACCCATTCCCTCTCAATTGCCAGCAGTGACCCCTGCCCTCTCTCTTGCCCCTGTGCTCTATCCTTTCAGCGGTGACCCTTGTCCTCTATCCTTTCAGTGGCAACAGGGGAGACAGGGGGTCCTCTATCCTTCCAGCGGTGACCCCTATCCTCTCTCCTGCCAGCAGTGACCCCTGTCCTCTGCCCTGCCAGCAATGACCCCTGTCTTCTCTCCTGCCAGCAGTAACCCCTGTTCACTGCACTGCCAGGGATGACCCCTGTCCTCTGCCCTGCCAGCATTAGCCCCTATTCTCTGCCCTGCCACAGTGACCCCTGTCCTCTGCCCTACTGATTTCCAGTACACTACCTTACCAATTCCTTTGCATTCCCTGCTGACCCACTGTACACTGCCCAGCTGACCCCTGTATGCGGTCCTAAAAATGAATAGCCCCGGTACACTGGCCTACAAACTGCTGATCCTATCCTCTGCTCTGCTGACAACCTGTTCATTGCCCTACTGACCTCCCATCATCTGCCCCCTGACATTTTTTACTGCACCCTCCACATCAGACAGGCTAGATCCAGCCCTGGTGGAGAGCCAGCTTTGAAGCTGCAGAAAGTCACACCTAGCTTCCCACATCCAAGATGGTGGTGCCGGGGACCCAGCAAAGAACTGGTCTGTGTGAGAACCACACTGGATCCCTGTCCTGTCAAGTGCATGTTTATTAAAAGTCAGCAGCTACAGTATTTGTAGATGTTGACTTTTTTCCAGACCGAAGATCTTCTTTAATAGAGAAGTATGGGACATCCATAAACATTCATACTCACCTAGATGGCTGCAGCATTGATCTGCTGCAGCTGTCCCCTGCTGGCTCTACACCTAGAACTGAGCAATCAAAGACTCAGTTCTTGGTCTTCTATATGCAGAGTAACTGTCAATCACTGACTCTCTGTTTTGCCCCTCCAATCCTCACTGGAGTCACATGGGTCACAGAAGTGCACTCCTGTGATCCACAGGAGAAATATGGCCAAAAGAGCTTTGACCATACTTCTCCTTGAAAGTGTTACTAAACCCACAGCAGTAAATATCAGTCTGTCTATGCAGTAAAGCATGCTTGTTGTACTCACTGTGGAGCTTAAGGGTTAATCCTCATTGTGTAAAAAGGCTACTTGATCCTGTCTTTTCTGATCCCCCACTTCTTCCCCAGTCCCCATTTCATCTACTGATAGTACAGAGCCCTGGGAGGCACTCTGCACATGCTCAGTTTGGTGTGTATTGCTAGAGAGCTTTCCTTTTTTTTTTTGAAAGGTGCATGTGATCAGCACAGAGTGATTCAGCAAAGTTCAGACAGGGGGACAGAGGTCATGCAGCCCCATAGGACAGTTGGAGGAGAATGAAAATTCCTCCTACAATCTAACCAGTGCTCAGCCAGACACTGATACAAGTCACAAGACTGCTATATACTGCTGATAAGAAAAGATATTTAGCCATTTATATTTACTAAAATAATTGCATTTCCATGTTCTGTGTACTATAGAAGACCAGATATAGTGAATGCAGGGTCATGGGTTTAGTAAAACTTTAAAACAGTCCCAGTTTCTCATGTGGCCCCTTGGGAAAAATTAACTGCCCACCCCTGCTCTGTATTGTTGCATTTGATTTGCATATTAGTAGCTCTCTTAGTTTCAGAGAACCAGAAAAAAAAGTACAATAGTAGGTTATATATTAGTAAGCAGGTGTACTACACTTAGTAGAAGAAGTGATAAATAACCTGCGCTCAGGACAAACAATACACACCCAATAGTTCAATAACTAACTGAAAAAATAAATGAATAGGCTGCTTCTTCTATAAGGTACTACCTTCTCAAATAAACAACACACATATGAAAAGTGCTGCCCAGATAAAAAATAAAACATGACATAAACTTAAATAATCATTAATCATAAGTACAATAAACTAAGTCCTTGGTGTGAAAATAAAGTCCTTAATGTGAAATTGATATGTGCAAGTGCTTCTATAACAACCAATAAGTGATGTGTGCTCTGTGCTCCCCACTTGTGTGCCCACTAACTCACCAATTGTAATGGACTCTTATAGGGAAACAAGAGTCATTCACGCTTTGGTGGGGCAAGCAGAGTTATGCTGGTTCTTGTAGTCCTCCTGATTTAAATGATGCTTGTCATCCTCAATGATCCCAACATGGTGCCATGATATGGAGTATGTGCATATAAGGAATGGAGAGAGGCATCTACATAGTGTAACTCTGTTTATTGAATAAAAGCAGACACACTTATATTGCACTCGCATGTTTCCAGAGAAAAAAATAACATAACAATGCCGGATAGGAAGGTAGTATATCACTTGTGTGTTCCAACGATGGTAATGATGTCACCAAAGTCCACAACTAACGCGTTTCGCCCCTCCCACTGGGCGTCCTCAGAGGCACTCTAGTTTATTGTACTTATGATTAATGGTTATTTATGTTTATGTCATTTTTTTTATTATTTATCCGGGCAGCGCTTTTTATATGTGTGTTGTTTACACTTAGTAGAATGTTTTATTATCAGGTTGAATGAGAATATTACGTTAAAACGTTGCATTGACTCTTGTAGACATTCCACAATAAACTGTTGGAAAACATTCACGAAAATGATTTGCTCAGCCTGTAGGGGAAGGACTATAGAAATAACATTTTCTACACAAGAGGTTCAAAGACAGACGACATGACATGACATTCACTTGGGGAATGTCCCATTGCAGTAGAAAAATGTCCCACGCTACCAGAAAAGAGCAGAATTCAATTACACTCCCTAAAGGCAATTTATTCAATACCATGCACTGTAACTTTAAGTTGTGGCCCTTCCACTAAGGGCTCGTTCACACTTGACTAATTTCTAGTGCTTGCCAAAGGCACCTATAGCGTTTGACAGGCGTTAGACAGGGGTTTGGAAAGCTTTTTTAACGCTCCTCAAAAGCCCTATGTGCATTTTTAAGGCATTTGATAGGCTTTTTCCAAGCGTTAAAACTGTACCACGAACACCTATAATTAAGTTTAACCACTTCAAGTCCAGGTACTGTCACCCCCTTCCTGTCCAGGCCAATTTTCAGTTTTTCGTGCTATCACACTTTGAATGAAAATTGCGCGGTCATGCAACACTGTACCCATATGATTTTTTTAGCCTTTTTTTGAGATAGATAAAAGTTTATTTTGGTGGTATTTATTCGCCACTGGGATTTTAATTTTTTTGCTATGAAAATGAAAATGTCCAAAACTTTTGAAAAAAAAGTGTTTTTCTTTTGCAAACTTTGCAAATAAATAATATTTCATCATAAATCTTGGACAAAATGTATTCCGTTATCTTTTTAGTAACAAAAAAAAAAATAACCCAAATAAGTTTATAACCAAAAATTATAATTTAAAAAAAATGTTTTTTTAAAATTTTGTATTTTATTTTTTTATATTATTATTTATGGGTTTTTTTGTTTGTTTTTTTACATTCTGTCACCCTAGTAGTACATTGTCATCATGGTGACACTGTACTGCTTGTGGGGGTTGATGAAGATTTTTTTTTTACACTGATTGCTTTTACACCCATAAAGGCTATAAAAGCAATAATTTCTCCTTCTCTCTGGCTGCATTCTTGCAGCCATTGAGAAATACTGTGTGAGCTGTGATTGGTCACAGCTTGTCACATGGTAAAAGGCTGTTGTGAATAGACTTGTACCATGTGACCTCTGTGATCATTCACAGATTTCACACGTAGTAAGCAATGATGTCAGAAGTGACATCTTGCTTACTACTCTGCATGTAATCACTGATTGGCCAATATACGTGATGATCATAGTTGCTGTATATTTAAAGATATAAACATACACACATTTTTTTTTGTTTTGATTATAAATCTTTAAAGTTAAAGTTTAACCACTTCAAGTCTGGACACTTTCACCCCCTTCCAGTCCAAGCCAATTTTCAGTTTTCAGTGCTATCACACTTTGAATGACAATTGCGCGGTCATGCAACACTGTACCCATATGATTTGTTTAGCAGTTTTTTGAGACAGATAAAAGTTTATTTTGGTGGTATTTATTCGCCACTGGGATTTTTTTGCTATATAAATGAAAAAGTCCAAATGTTTTGAAAAAAAAGTGTTTTGCAAATAAATAATCTTTCTTCATAAATCTTGGCCAAAATGTATTCATCTTTTTTTATAACATACTGTCACCCTAGCAGTACAGTGTCACCATAGTGACACTGTACTACTTGTGGGGGGTGATGAGAATTGTTTTTCTTTTTTTACACTGATTGCTTTTACACCCATAAAGGCTGTAAAAGCAATCATTTCTCCTTCTCTCTGGCTGCATTCTTGCAGCCATTGAGAAATGATGTGCGAACTGTGATTGGTCACAGCTTGTCACATGGTACAAGACTGTTGTGAATAGCCAGATTTCACAAGTAGTAAGCAATGATGTCAGAAGTGACATCTTGTTTACTACTATTCATGTGATCTCTGATTGGCCAATCAGGGATCACATGAATCGGGACCTCACACGTACAGCGATCAGTGTTCCACTGTGTCCTCCAGATCACGGTGCCGCGTGCTTCGAGGGAGCGCGCACAGGCAGTGAATGTGGGGGCCATTTATAAATGGCCACCTGCTCCTGCACTGCTCCCATCCAGCTGTTTATGTACATGGGCCAGACGGGAAGTGGTTAATGGAAGTGGTTAATCTGCATAGGCTTTGCATTCCCTGGTTCCTTCTCTCCCCATCTTGTCAACATGCTAATGATTTTTTAAAAACTAAAACCTTTCTTTTTTCATCTCTTACCTTATTTTAGACCCATTGACATCATTACTAGGTCTCTGTGCTTCTTTATGCAATCTGGGCAGATTATGACTGGTGGGAGGAGCCAGCAGAATGCTGAACATAGCTTCCTGAAAACATCACAGCACCCCGTCTCAGTACTCCTCCCAAGAGCCCTCAGCTCTGATGCAAGTATTAGGTTGGTTATTGGGAGGAGGTATACAATTATTAAATTGCTTTGATTAATGGGTGTCAGAGCGGAGGAGGGACATTCCTAGGCAGGATGTATTTGCAGTCACACTGACCCAGGTAACACTGACATGTGATGCTGAGCTTCCATAATTGAACAAACTGAAGATTAATGAATTAAAGGGGTGGGTCAGGGACAGTAAGGCTAGGGAGGAAAGTGCTAGGTGATGCTGGATGTCCTCTAGCCAGGCTGGCTCTGACTTGCTGCAGCTTCTAAAGCACAGTGTGAAGTGAAATCAGAGTAAGCATTTTCTGCACAGGAAAGGAGCCTGTACAACTGTGTACAACTGAAGGTAAGGTCGGAGCCAGGGGCGGACTGACCATTTGGAAACTCGGGCACTGCCCGAGGGCCCGGAGTCTGTAGGGGGCCGCATGAGATGCCCCTGGTACCTTTTTCATAGGCTTTTTTGAGTTTGGGCAAGGACACAGGGGCCCCATGATCCCCTATTGCCCGGGGGCCCCATGAGTTGTCAGTCCGCCCCTGGTCGGAGCTCAGCTTCAAGTTTGTGTTAAAGTGTTACTAAACCCAGGACCTGCATTCACTATATCTGGTCTCCCACAGTACACACAACATGGAAACGCAATTATTTTAGTAAATATAAACTGCTAAATACCTTTTCTCATTAGCAGTATATTATTATTATACAGGATTTAATATAGCGCCAACAGTTTGCACAGCGCTTTACAAATTGAAGGTAGACATTACAGTTACAATACAATTTGGTACAAGAGGAATCAGAGGGCCCTGATCATTTCTTTCTGCTCTAGGAGGATGCAGAACCCCTGACCTCTGTCTGGACAATGCTTTACAAATTAAAGGTAGACATTACAGTTACAATACAATTTGGTACAAGAAGAATCAGAGGGCCCTGCTCATTAGAGCTCATATAGCAGTCTTGTGACTTCTATCAGTGTCCAGCCAAGCTCTGGTTAAAGCTTGTAGGAGGAGTTTTCTTTCTGCTCTAGGAGGATGCAGAATCCCTGACCTCTGTCTGGACAGTGCTTTACAAACTGAAGGTAGACCTTACAGTTACAATACAATTTGGTACAAGAAGAATCAGAGGGCCCTACTCATTAGAGCTTATATAGCAGTCCTGGGACTTCTGTCAGTGTCCAGCTGAGCTCTAGTTAAAGCTTGTAGGAGACGTTTTCTTTCTGCTTTAGGAGGATGCAGAAACCCTAACCTATGTCTGGACCGTGCTTTACAAATTGAAGGTACACATTACAGTTACAATACAATTTGGTACAAGAAGAAACAGAGGGCCCTGCTCATTAGAGCTTATATAGCAGTCTTTGTGACATCTATCAGAGTTCAGCAGAGCATTGGTTAAAGCTTGTAGGAGGAGTTTTCTTTCTGCTCTAGGAGGATGCAGAACCCCTGACCTCTGTCTGGACAGTGCTTTACAAATTGAAGGTAGACATTACAGTTACAATACAATGTGGTTAAAAAGGAATCAGTGGGCCCTGCTCATTAGAGCTTATATAGCAGTCTTGTGACTTCTATCAGTGTTCAGCAGAGAACTAGTTAAAGCTTGTAGGAGGAGATTTCTTTTTGCTCTAGGAGGATGCAGAACTCCTGACCTCTGTCTGGAGAGTGCTGATTGGCCCTGTGCTGATCACATGCACTCTCCCTAGAAAAGAAAAAAAACCTCTCTAGCAATACACACCAAACTGAGCATGTGCAGAGTGTCTTAGGAGATACGAGGGGGGCAGCGGAAGAAGGGGAGAATAAGAGAAGACAGGGTTGAACAGCCCTTTTACACAATGCAGAGGATTAACCCCTTAGGTTCCACAGTGAGTATAACAAGTCTGTTTTACTGCATATACAGACTGATTTTACTGTTGTGGGTTTAGTAACACTGTAATAACATACTCAAATATAGACGTAACACAAAAAGTACATTCCCCCACTGTTCAGTTATTATTGTTTTAAAAAGCCAAGTTTTCTCAGATGCAGAGAATATTTTTTTTTCCCTGATAGCTAGGGAGAGAATTACTCTATAAAAAAATGATGACTTCCCCTGAAAATGGAAGCTAATAAAGAGCTTTAAACTAAGCTGATCATTCTGGCAAGGGGGAAGACATTCTCCTTTTTGTGAAAATATTTTGCAGCAGTTTTTAACTGCATTTGAGAAGCCCCGTGGATAAGGTGCTCTAAACTGGCCCTACCTAGTAGTTGGGCATTTATCTCCAAGCAAATCAGTAGGTGGCACACTGCTGCATGAAGAATGTTCTTTGTGTCTGACTCGAGAAATCCATTCTAACATCCCTTACTAATCAGCAGCTGCAGAGGCTGCTTCCAATTTTATCCAGAGCTCTTTTCAGCACCTCTCCCAGCTCCCATCTTCATCCTCATCCTCATCCTCTCACTTGGAAACATTCTAATAGAATCTAAGCAAGGAAAATGCTTGGAGACAGCTAACATTTTGCCACTTTGGCTGGCAGCCATGTGTTGACTCCAGTTAACGTCTGTTGTCATTAAACAGAACTGGGCATGACCCCTCATTTTTCTTCTGTATTTTCAGCTAGTCTGCCCCCCCCCCCCCCTCCTCTTGCATCCATGTTATTTTATGGAGAGACATTCAAGGAACAGCTTTTTAATTTCATGCAGAGATTTTACGTGCAATAATCCTACTTCAGCAGTGAATAAATTATCATCACTACCTTTTATTCGGAAGACATTCATTGTGTTTTAACGGAATGGGACGACCAGTAAGGTCACGGCGAGACAATACAAAGGGGGGCCACCTGAGGTTATTTTAAATGAAATTGAAATTTGAAAAAAAACATAACACAAACAGACATCACAAGAGAAGCCCCTATCCCGAAAATGACAGTTAAATGACAGTTAAAATGGGTGATCTGTAAAAATAGGTGATCTCATGAAACAAAGGCTTTTTTTTTTTTATGATCACATTGTCAGCTCCCCAATTTTGTCCCTGTACAGTTTAGGGCGGGATGCAGTTTGAAATCCAGGGCAGTGTGTTCATGTGCAGCAGCGAACTGCATGTTCCAGCAGAGGGGATTTCTGAGAACTGAATCTGTGTCCTCAGATGAACTTCCCTGCTGCTTGCTGCGGTACAATTTCTTAAAGCGGCGCTGTCACAGCTCATCTTGTAAACAAGGCATGTTCTCAATGAGACATCAGACACACTTTTTTTTTTTTTTCCTGATGAATCAGGAAAGTTCATGGGAATTCTTTTAATGCAGGCACAGATGCAAGAGGAGAAGCAGACTGTTTTATGAATAATCTTTAAAATTTGCAGTTGCATGGCTTTCTGCAAGGGAGATGACAAGACAGACTGGGTAAGCTGAGAGGCTGCAAACAGTTAATCGGGGAAAAAGCCTGTCTACTCCTGTCGCCTGAGCTGACTTTATCCAGTTTTTAATTATATGCATAAGAAATAAGCTAAATTTAGTAATTCCTTCAGGCTTTTTTTTTCTGAGGATCCTTCTTGGTCACTCAGCAAAAGCTCTCTATCCTATTATTGCAATGTAAATTCAAAGACCTTCAGCTGGGAGAAGGGTAACAAAACATGGTATTGTTCTCTATGACAGAGGGTTGTGGTGCTAGAACTACAATACTTTTTGTTAAAAGGCAAATGAGCTGTATAATATTGTAACAATAGAAGTTACTAAAGAAGATGAAAAGGAAAAGATAGTCATAGTGATCAGTTATTTCAATTCATTTGCTAGATTCTGTTTCAGGACAATTGTAATATTTGATGACTAGATACTAAGTTCACAGTATTTTCTATCTCTCTAGTTCAACTTATATTAATGACCAGGGGTGGACTGACAACTCATGGGGCCCCCGGGCAATAGGGGATCATGGGGCCCCTGTGTCCTTGCCCAAACTCAAAAAAACCTATGAAAAAAGTACCAGGGGCATCTCATGGGGCCCCCTACTGACCCCGAGCCCTCAGGCAGTGCCCGAGTTTCCAAATGGTAAGTCCGTCCCTGCTAATGACCTTACAATAAAGATGCCCACTGTCCTTTAACCCCTTGGCGCCGGCGCCTCCCGACCCTTTAAGGGTTTCCGAAGCCGGGAGACGGGGCGGGGTTTTAGGGTCATGTGACCACCGTGATTCGCCATCACGGCGGTCACATGATCGGGAAAGGTCCCGATCAAAAGAGGAGATCGGGACCTTTCCATGAGTACCAGACATGTGTGCTGGGAGTGCACAGGGTGCGCACTCTCAGCACATATGTTTTTCTTAATTGCACGCAAATGTGCGGTCGCTCAGCGTCTAGGCCCAGATGCCGGGAGGCCGCACAATTGCGTGCGGCCAGCGCGAAGAGGTTAAGGTGCCTTATGCATTAAATCCAGCCACCAAATATGTCCAAAGTGGTTGTTCCAATTTCTGTGTTTCATCGAGGGCTAAACTGACCTACCCATGACCTCCATCTTATTCTAGCTTCATTTAACTATATATACAGATGCAGGAAAAGTGGGCCTTAAGCCGGCCATACACGGGTCGAATTCCGAAAGAATTTTCATTCGAAAATCTTTTCTGAGAATTTTTGTTTAAATTTTGCACCATTAGTAGGCCACAGCAACAGCCGGCTTTAGAGAAACCGTCAATTTGAATAATCGGGTATGTTGGAAATGTTTTGAAAAACTAACGACTTTCTAGTCAATGATGGGAGATCATGCGATCGGTTGCTGCTCCACCCCCCAGCATTAAAGCTCACCTAAGCCCTGGTTCACACTGATGTGGTGCGGAATTTGCAGCGTTTTCTGTGTGAATTCCGCACTGCATCAGAATTGCACCCCATTCATGCGAATCGCACCCCATAGCTGCTCCACCCCCCAGCATTAAAGTTCACCTAAGCCCTGGTTCACACTGATGTGGGGCAGAATTTGCAGCGTTTTTTTGTGCGAATTCCGCACCGCATCAGAATTGCACCCCGTTCACGCAAACCGCTGCGGGTGTGTATGTTAATTTAACAACAGCCCGAAAGCGGTCCGCAAAATGCGGTGTGATGTGCACAATCAGATCGCATAGGTGTGAATACCCATGCGATCCGATTCTAGTGCAGACCCAAAAAAGGGTACTGCACCTCTTTGGTGCGGGTGCATTGCGATTAGAGCCATACAAAATGTATGGCTCCAATCGCATCGCACACAAATCGCATGTGATTTGCACAGGAATGTGGTGCGGTTCCTGTGCGAATCACATGCGATATACCGCACCGCATATATGTGAACCCAAGCTTAAGCAGAACTAAACTCAACAATTTAAGGGCTTGTCCACGCTATGTGCAATGACCTGTATTTTTCCTCACTGGAAAAACACAGGTGACCTCTAGACCACATAGAACACAATTGTTTTCTACGCACCCTGTTCACATAGATATGATGGTGTGATGTGTGATGCAGTGCATGGCAGAAAAATGCAGCATGTCTGCTGTTTTATGGTAACAGTCATTGGGACTGTAATGGTTAATTTGTGGCCTACAGATTACCCTTCCTTTGACTCTAATTTGACCAGTGAGAGCACCAATCGCATTTGGTAACCAATAAGTTGATGATGGGAGCAGGACTGGGTAGGCCACAGTGCAGCTATCAGAGATCTGATCACTGATTTCATAAAAGAGGAGTCTGATTTTTTGGGGCACTTCAGATTAACAAAGAGTGCATATCAGTGTTGTTAGGTCCATCTTGAATGCATTCAAATGCCCAAAAGTACACCTCACCAACTGCTCCCAGTCCCATCTTTGTTACTGACATAGTAGTAATCCAAGCTCCTTAGAGGTGAGCAAACACCAGGAATTAAGGATTCATAATTTATCTGGAGCATTGCTTCAACCTACCAAAGAATGACATTCTTATATGCCACCCTCTGATTTCTTTAGGGCCCTTAGTTGCAACCAAGAGCCTTTTTACTCAGTGACAGACACGTGTTTTTGGATTTCAGCCTTAACACAGTGGAGAAGCAGTTTGAAGTCTCCTTTTGCGGTCAGTTTCTCAGGTCTTTGGAAGTCTCCAGGTAACCAATGTAGAAGGATGCCACACTCCAGCAGACCACACTTTGCTCCCCAAAGGCATTCTCACTTTCATGACAGGCTATGCTACATTCACCTTTTTGCATTGTTCTTTCGCCACCATAGATTTAGGTAATTATATTCCTTACAACTACAATCAACATGAAACTTGAAATCTCTTAAATCTAAACCTAGTCAGTGCCCATACACACTTTCATCACTGGCCAGAGTAATTCAACAGAAGTATGGAGAATCTCCACCACTGCCATAATCCTTCCCATGTCCCTCACAATTGTGGAGCATCTGTTCCACATGGGCTGCTGGGGACAGAAGTGTTCCTTAAGTCTATAAAAACCACTTCCAAACAATACAGTGTCCCAGATCCTAATATAAATTATGAACTATATGATGTGGTATTCTGTCAGTTCATCGGCTGGCAGAATAGGAAGATGTTCTCCTCAAGCAGTTGCACTGGTATAGAATAGCCTGATGCGACTATGTACAGTTGGGCCATAGCAATCTGGGTCCAACTGACTGCTATATATATAGAGCAGATAGAATTTACCACCGAATCTCCACTGCTGGGCCACCACCCAGGACATTTGTAGAAGCCCATTCCTGCTTCCTTATCCTCTGACAGGTGTGGGTGACTTACACTAAAGGTGATGCACAACTGCAGCAGTTATGATATGATATCCTTCCTACTATCAAACTGCCTGGTCTTCATGTGTATGGTCTGGATCCATACCTCTAAAGTGGAACAAAACCAATCGATTTAACTGTTTCTCAAAAGAGTTGCATTCTGAGCATGCCATGAATGATAACTATCACAGTTGCTTGTGCTCTAAACTAAACTGTCAAGCCCTCAATGGCTGGTTTTATAACTGACCACATGTGTAGCACCGTGGCAACTGCAAACCAAACAGAGGCTAAGAAAGCAGCTTTCCTGCCTCTAAAGGATGGGAAAGTTTAGTTTTATTTTAGTAGGTCCTATCATAGGGATAAGATGGCAGAAGCTACTGAAACAGGTATCATTTTCAAAATATCAATCACTTGTCAGACCAGTCATTCTTCATGTAGCTCAAAACCCACCTCAATAATACTGCTCATGTAATGGTACATATACCACTGCCTTTTTTAGCTGCTAACCAGTGTTTCTTCTTAAATAACTACCTGGATGCAAAATGGGATCTAAAGTAATCCTGAGTAATGTCCCAGTGTCTTGAAGCTAGTTCATCCAACAGTCATCCATCCAGTATTCTACACCAAGACACAGACTGGCAACCTGTCCCCGTTGGGGCCCTAGGTTGGTACCAAACTCAATGAGGTGTTTCACTGTGGAACACTTCTTAGTCAAATCTTTTACTGTTTCCTTGATCTACATCAATGCCTCCCTCAACTGTGATGGCACATTCATGACGTACTTGGTGGTTTCCTCTCTCTTTCTTAAAATGATTGCATCCTCTTTTAGTAGAAAAAAAGTTTATGTCTGCACAGGTTGTCTGACCTGAGAAATGTTCAGTGAATTCCATAACTCCTGGAAATCTAATGATGTCTAATGATGTCCAAAATGAATGGAAGAAGCTTTCATAAAACTGAACTCTATTGTGGATTTTTCTCTATTGAGGACTACTGAAATGTTACTATCACACTTATGAGTGGACAACTTTATTATATGTAGTTAACTTAGTTGAGGTTATTAATAGATGTGATGAATCATTTTATACAGTAGATTACTCATTAGCTTTGTAGGCAGAGAAATGATTTGAGAACATGAAAACCAGTTTAAAAATACACGTGTCGTGCCTTTTATGAAAAAAACAAAACACAAGCCTCCAACTCAGCATATGCTATCAGACCAGGCATTACACAGACATTAGATCATAAACAGGAGAGTGGATTTTTGCAGCAGATGTAAAATGGCATTGTAGTTTGATATCATGATAACATAAATGATATTATAACTGCAAAAGGTATAGTCTATATTCAGTATATCTGTTTCATGTGACTCACTCTATTTAACAGTGTTAGGCCAATCAGTGCTGTAATACAAGGAATCCATAGCCCCGTGTACGCTACTGCTCCAGCAACTTGTAGTTTACAGAGGACACTTCATTCAACTTAAGGCACCGCAGCACATTGTGACACGCTGCGGTGACATGTGGTGCAGTGAGCTGTGCTGTAAAAATACAGACATGCTGCATTTGTATACAGTGCACAACAACACACAGGAACTGGCCGAATTTGGATCTATCTATGGGCAGGCTGGTTGTACTGAAGTTGATCTATCAATCAGCTAAAGTAAAACCATCCTGTCAGACTTTTTTGTATGATCACAACTGCCAGCTCTAGCCGGCAGCAGTAATCATTGTATTCTGCTGGCAGGGAAACCTCCCACTGTCAGAAAACAATGGTGCAGCGGGAGGTATTCTCCCATCAACACTGACTGTGTTGATGGGGGAAACTGAGCGATTTTCTTTCCTTTCACTTTAAATTTCATTTAAATTTAATTTAAATCTTTATTGAGTGCTGTAACCTTCATTGTCTAAAGCTGGTCATAGATGATACAGTTTTTTTTTTTTGTTGAACCAGCGGGTTGAAGGAAAAAAAAACTGACCTTATTCCCCCATCAAAAAATTAGAGGTGGATGTGGGAATCCTTCTGCTGTATCTTCATATTCTGACAGTGACTAGACTTCTCCGCCAACAGAATACAATGATTAATGCTGCCGGCTATTGCTTGCAGCGCTGATCGATAATGACATTTTCGAGCAGGGTGGTTGTAAAGAAGTCAATTGGTAGATCAACTTCTGCACATCCTCAGAGCCCATACATGGACTGAAATGTGGCTGGTTTAATAGGAATTTCGATCCATCTATGGTCAGCTTAAAGCGGAATGTCACCCTAAAGAAGAAGTTCTGCTTTATGTCCTCCTCTTCTGTTTTTGGCACTTTTTGGGGCGAAGGGGGTACCTAGTTTTGACAGGTGCCTTCTCCCACTTCCAGTTGAATCCACTGGAAGTTCTCCCCACTGCCTGCAATCTTCTGCAACACGTCACAGGTCCCAAAAGGCTGCGGGACCATTCACAAAGCACAGTGCTGCTTGCACATGTGCAGTGGGCATCTGGCTATAAAGCCGAAAGCAGCATAACTGGCTGCCCACAGTAAACATGCCTGCACTGGAGACCTGAAGACCGGCAAAGAACCGGTTCAGGTGAGCATGGCGCTGGATCCCTGAACAGTTATCTTTTTATTAAAAGTCAACAGCTACAGTACTTGTAGCTGCTAGCTTTCATTTATTTATTTTTTTTCAAAAAGGCTGAAGATTGCTACATATCATGATTGAAGATGAGGCTTGGGTCTACTGGGACCTACTGTACCTTTGCAGGTGCAGTTTATCTACGAGGTGCATTCAAGTCAAACTGGGACTTTTGAGTTTATATAATAAAGGGACAAATTTCAAGGAGTGAAAATGGCATTTATTTTTCAACATTCTCCCCTGCTACATTTATACACTTATCCCTGCGTTTACCTAATGCCTGGAAAGCTTTGGTATAGAAAGATTTGTCAGTACGCCTGAACTGTCCTAGGACAGCCTGCTTCATTTTGTCATCGTTGTGTTCACTGTTTCCACAGAAAGATTAATCTCTTGTGCAATTTTACGACAGGCTATGTGTCCATTATCTAGGATCAGGTGTAGAATGTTCACAGGAATGACTGCTGTGGGCTGGGAACCAGCACAGCCGGGATTGTCTCTGAAGAACGTACGGCCATCTTTGAAATGTTTACACCATTCAAATGTCTTACTGCGGCTGAGCGTCTCATCACTGTACTGTGCTTGAAGTCTTCTGTAGATATCCGCTGGTTTTACGCCTTCGTTCACAAGAAACTTCATCACCACATGCTGTTCCATGCACGCACTGTAATAAGCCATCTTGATAAACGGCCTCTACTGGCCCATGATATGAGCACCGCCTATCACTAATAGGACACACCTGCCACTTACTACTGCATGTAGTACCATCATGCACAGGGCTGGGACAAGAGGTGGGCAGGAGGGGTAACCACATTGGGCATTGTGGTATCATCATGTGAGGTGGGCGAGCACCACAAGGCGATTGAGGGGGGGGGGAGAGATTTGCGTTGGCAGTGGGAATTTGAGGGATGTCATGGGGTAAGAATTGTTCTAGAAGGTAAAATATGGGGATAAGTGTTATGAGTGGTGATTTGTGTTGGGAAGGAGGGATGGGGAAAGAGGATTTGTGCTTGGAGGGGGATTTGTGTTAAAAAAAGGTGATGCGATGGGGGGAGGGAATTTGTGCTAGGAAGGGAATTTTTTGGGGGAGATTTGTACTAGTAGGGGGAAATTTGAGTGGTAGAGTCCTTTTTCGTTAGGGGGAATTTTTTGGGGGGTGCAGGAATTTGAGCTAGGAGGATATGGGGAGAGAGAGGATTTGAGCTAGGGGGGATGGGGGCAAAGATTTGCGCTGGGGGGGGTTGTACTGGAAAAAGGGGAAATTTATGCTTAGGGGGTAAGTATGCAGATTACTTTTTGGGGGGGGGTTGCAGATTTAAAATGCTCATACATCTCATGGGGGGGTGCGATTTGTCACATTCACCTTGGGCTCTAGGTGACCTTGTCCCGGCGCTAGCAAACATACATGTTCACCAGAACACCATGGATCTTCAAATATGGTCCAAAAAAGTTTTTATTGCAACAAGATCACATCACAGAAGAAAGTGCAACGTTTTGGAGCTGCACAGGACCCCTTCATCAGTTATGTAATCATCACATGTCATCATATGCCTGATGAAGGGGTCCTGTGCAGCTCCAAAACATTGCACCTTCTGTGATGTGATCTTTTTGCAATAAAAACTTCTTTGGACCATATTTGGAGATCCGTGGTGTACGGCAAATATACACGTTTGCTTGTGATATTTCCAGTCCCAGCTGGTAGTCGCTACAATACCCGATATTAACCACTTGCCTACCAAGCACTTTTACCCTCTTCGTTCCCAAGCCAATTTTCAGCTTTCAGCACTCACGCTTTGAATGACAATTGCGCGGTCATGCAACACTGCACCCATAACAAATTTTTATCATTTTTTTCACACAAATACAGCTTTATTTTGGTGGTATTTAATCACCGCTGTGTGGTTTATTTTTTTACACAACAAACAAAAAGAAAGAGCTAAAAATGTGAAAAAAAAAGTTTTTCTTTGTTTTTATAAAATTTTGCAAACCGGTAATTTTTCTCCTTCACTGATGTGCATTAATGAGGCTGCACTGATAGGTAGCACTGATGAGGTGGCATGGCTAGGCAACACTGATGGGCACTGATAGGGTGCACTGATGAGGCAGCACTGGTGGACATTGATGAGGAGGCACTGATTATGCTGCACTAATATGCAGCAATGATGGGCACTGATGGGCAACACTGCTGGGTGGTACTGCTCATCAGTGCCCTGATGATCAGTGCTGATCCGCTCTGTGACATTTGCCGGTTATCGGCAGTACTTTCCTTACGCTGTGACAATGTGAGGAAAGTGCTGCCAATAACCGGCAACTGTATTTACTCGGTGATCTGCTGTGTCATTGGACACAGCTGATCGCGTGGTAAAAGGCCGCTGTGATTGACCTTTCACCTTATCATGCGGTCAGCTGTGTCCGTAGGACACAGCGATCATGGAGAGCACTGGGTGTACGCCGCTGGGGGAGCACAGGAGGGTGCGATCTGGGAGGATGTCATATGATGCCCTCCCAGACCTGGGCAACCATGTTGTAGCTGTCATTCGGCTAGAACGTGGGTGCACAGGAGGGTGCGATCTGGGAGGATGTCATATGATGCCCTCCCAGAACTGGACAACCATGTTGTAGCTTTCATTCGGCAATAGCGTGGGCGCAGAGGAGGGTGCGATCTGGGAGGATGTCATATGATGCCCTCCCAGAACTGGACAACCATGTTGTAGCTGTCATTCGGCTAGAACGTGGGCGCACAGGAGGGTGCGATCTGGGAGGATGTCATATGATGCCCTCCCAGAACTGGACAACCATGTTGTAGCTGTCATTCGACCATAGCGTGGGCGCACAGGAGGATGTCATATGATGCCCTCCCAGAACTGGACAACCATGTTGTAGCTGTCATTCGGCTATAGCGTGGTTAATGAGCCATGTTTCCAGGAATGTGTGTGATGGGAATATAGACAAGATTGTCCCGGCACTGGCCACGCCATCATCCATTTTTGTACCAGTAAAATGAAAAGTCCCAGTTTGACATGTGTGTGTGTGTGTACGTGTGCGTGTGTATTAGGAATAGCAAGGAGCAATATGGAAATATTATGGAAAGTGCAAATGTATGGTTCATCAATTTCTGAAACTTTCCAAAAACTTGATAGACTTTGTTTCTAATCCTGCAGAAGAAACATTAAACTCCTCTTTGAGATGATGTTTTCCACTTCCTTAGAGCACTTAGCAGTAAAATCATCATTCCACAAGTTCACTTCGTCTGAGATCAGGCAAGTGGAAAGGCAATTCCAGGTGAGTGGGTGATAAAGCGAGCTTGTAGCAGAGCAGCACCCTGAGAAGAGAACAGATGGTGAAGGATCGCCCTTTTAAGAGCCAGCTGTGTGCCTGTCTGTATGTGTGTGTATGTGCGTCTGGCTGAGTAGCACGCTGGAAACTGTAGAAGGCACCTGATTGGCCGTGACTGAAGTTGTCTCCCCGCCTCTGACCGGGGGGGGCGCCCTGATTGGGAGAAGGGGCCGGAGGTAAACAGAATAGAATGTCCCCTTCTCCTAGAACCTATGGGAGCCGCATCCCATTGTGACGCGTGGGGTTCTGTTAAATTGTTACTGAGGCAGGAGAATGCCTGAACCCTGAGAGTGGAAGGTGGAGGAGGAGGGGGGCCGGGGGGAGTGAGTGAGAGAGAAAAAAAAGTGTGTCTCATATACAGCTTTGTCTGAGATTTCATCCCAGACTGTGTATGATTGAGGAGGATGCGTGCAGTGGTGGGGACAGGGAAGTAGACAAAGCACCTGGTGGTGGCCCCTTGTGCCGGACAGGGGCAGACAAGAATGGCGCGGGCTCGGTAGGTGCCACGTGTGGGCTGGCTTGCTTGTGGCACCCAAGTTTTGTGAAAGAAGGTAGAGAAGTGCGGTGCAGACACAGGAGGGGCATTGTGTAGTAGAAGTGGGGAGGTCCCAGACTAGTGCTGTCTGATGAAGATGAGGGGCTGGGTGCTGCTCAGGAGGAGCACACACTGCTAGCTGCACCACACCACTACACGACTTTGTCGCTGGAGCTCTCCTCAGCCTCCTCTCTAGCCGCCCCCCGCGTTGGCAATGACAGCAGTCGCCTACACGGACTTCGTGGCTGCTCAGTGTCTGGTGTCCATCTCCAACCGCACGAGAGCAGCTGACCAGGAAGAGCCCCCTACTACTACTATTCCCTCTACACCTGCCACCAGCCCCGCCACCGCCGAGCACCTGAGGAGAATGAGCGAGCCTGAGGCCAGCCTGCACCACCTGCGGACAATGCCCGAGCCTCTGACTAAGGAGCACCACGAGGGGGGACCCGGGGAAGCCTGGAAGGACTACTGCACCCTGCTGACCATAGCCAAGAGCCTGCTGGAGTTAAACAAGTACCGGCCCCTGCCCTCCCCGGTCTACAGCGACGAGGAGCTCAGCTCGGACAGTGACGTGACCACAGAGTCCGGCCACAGTTACCACAGCAGTAGCAGCAGCACGACCCCCAGCCGGACGGACTACAGCCCCGAAGCGGGCTCCACACAGCAGCCGCCACGCCCACCCAGCCCGGACACGCCCAGCTCCCCGCCACGCCCCGCCGGCTCCACTAGTGAAAAGAGGCACAGGTGTCCCTATGCCGGCTGTGGCAAAGTCTATGGCAAATCTTCCCACCTTAAAGCCCATTACAGAGTGCACACAGGTCAGTAACCCAACCCCCCACCACAACCACCACTACCACACACACCAACCAGACAGAGACATGTGGCCATCTAGACCACCTTTTTCCTTTAATGTTGGGGTACTGTGTTGGGGGGAGTGATAATACCAATGGGGGTTGTACATTCAGACACCTCAATGAGAAGCACCTGTCTAGACGACATGGGTAGACCATCAGATGGTGGCACCACCTTCAATCTAGCCAGCCTTTTCACAGATTGCTAAACAAGGACACATTGTTATTGCCAAACAGATGTCAAATGAGGACACCAGAGCATAGACCTCATGAAAATCTGCAGTGGTGGCTCCTTGAGGTCTGCAGTCAGGTGTCTCCAGTCCAAGGGCACATCAGGTTTGTGTGATGACATCTTGATGTTTGCAGGTGGAGAACATGGCTCTTCCAGAAGACTGTGTATCATTTCAAGGTACAGATGTGTGATTTTTCCTACCTAAATAGTTTAGAAAATGGTAGGGTACTTCCAATATTGTTGTATGACATAACTCAGCACCCTCTCCGGTAGATCTCCACTAAATTTGAGGTTACCAGAAGGCTGGTGCCCCTAATCCTAGCTTCTGTTCTCTACTAAATGAGTGCCGGAGAATACTGCAGTAATAAAAAAAAGTGTCGGAGTCCAAGTACAATATGGGAGGATGTCCTATGTTCGGTGTTCTCCATCCTCTCCCCGGTGGCACCATGACCCAAGATAGTCAAAGGAGTTGTGTCTCCTTCCAGTGATACATGCTGCTTTTGGCAACGTAGTTGTAGCGACGTGTTGCTGAGGTTGAAGGAGGTGGTTCCCGTGGATTCGGGGGAACACCCTTTGGTTACGCCTATATTTGTAACCCAGCCAACCGGTGGGTAGCCACCACTTACACGTGTATTGCAGCATGACGTCACACAACAAGCAACCTACACCTGGGTTGGGTTGCCTTTCACTAAACATAGAGATCTCAGAAGGTGCATACCCATGACCAGTTGCCACGAACAAGGCACTCGGCTATAAGTCCCATTCTTCTGAAAATGCCACATACGTTGTAGCGATTTTAGTGCTGACTTTAGTTGACTAAGGGCATCTATCGGTGTTGTAGGCACTGAGCTGGTTAGCTGGTTTGGTCCCGGTAAAGTCTGGTGGTAAATCATTCTGAGACTTTACGTCAACAAAATGTTCCCAAGCAGAGTCTATTTTTAGATTCAGCAGTTTTGTAAGTATTTCTAGGAGCCTTTCCAGTGTTGGCAGTTTTGTATTTTTCTGTGTTTTTTTCCTTGTTTGATTAAGAGCCAGCAGGGGTAAGAACGAACTGTCTAATCACATTCTTCATTATCTGCTTCCGCACTCCCATACCAAGTAGGTGACCTCATATTACCTCTTCCACTGAGACTGACTGAGGATATTGTGTTTCTGCTGTTCCACCGCCTGCGCTCAGACAGTATACAGTGTATCTCCCAGACACTCTATCTCCAACAGCAGCTGAATCACAATGACATTAAATACTACAGCACTTTATTTACAGCATTTCTATACATTATTAGATGTGAAGTCTCTTAGGATGCCACTAAAAATCCTCATTTCTCTGCATCGGCATGCTGTGTCTGGTTTCTCTCCCTTGCTGCTGTTCTCAGCACCAGTAAAAAGGCATGAATCAGAATAACCTTTATGATTCACATTGCAAGATAGAGCTTGATCTATATTCCGTCCTGTCTTTTGGATTAAGGGTGTGGTGATTCATGGCATGACACAGAAAAATACAAATTGTGCGTTGAGATTCGAAAGCTCCATCTTGTTTGCATTTTAATCAGTTTGGATGACATTGCAGTTACCCTGCTCCAACCTGCCAAACGTAGCATAGAGAAACCCGGAGCTAGAGGTGACACCACAAAGCTTTTAGCCTCAACACTTGCCAGTGTAAATTGTAGTTTAGATCTTTTCTAGGCTGATCTTTTATTGAAGGCATGTAAAAAAAAAAAAAAAACAGAATTGCTGATTAGGAAGAATTTCTTCTGGATTCCAGTGAAACCCAGAGCAATAATCTTTTGTTTTCATTGACCTAATTGGTTACAGTCAGGAAAGAGTGAAGGCTGGGTGTGTCAGTGGAAAAGTACAGCCTTGCTCACTTGTAACAGCTTCTCTGAAGAAGTTATGAAACAGCTGTGGGTGCAAACAAAGACTTTTTTTTTCCGAAGAATGCACCATGCAAATTCCAGAAAGGTTAATGATTTTTAAGTATAGGGCTTCCATAAGTGGTCAGAAGGGATGATCAATCCCAAACCAAGCCTGAGCCCAAGCTCTTCACTAGTGATCCCGAGCATTTAGAGGGAATCTGGCTAACTAATCATACAGTTATATTTTACAATGATCACATGGTTTGCTTCAATATTTTATTCAGCGCTCTTCAACTTCTATCTGCACATTGATCCTATTAATATGTTAGAGTACATGCTGTGAATAGCTATTTTAAGGAACAAGGCTGGCTGTGAAATCTAGTGCTCTTTTGATATAGCTGTCCCATTATATAGTCTTGCCAGCCGTTACTTGATGTCACTTGTCCCAGTACCATATATTGATCTATAAAATGATGCAACTGATTGAGCAATGGAGTGCTAATTATATCATAGGTTCACATTTCTAAACAGTGAAATAATGGGACTGGGTTACAATGCTGAGTGAGCTATGTGTCATGTGCAGAGGGAAGAGGATTATTGATGGGTCTGGATTTAGTCACGACTGTACAGCACTAGTCATGAACAAATGGAGTGTTTAAGTGGGTGACTGCTGCATCATGAGATCAGGACAACTGTGGGAATTTATGACTGATCTACAGCAGTGTATATGGAGCTCTGACTAATGTCCACGTGTTCGAAGCAGGTAAAAGGGATCCTTTTGCATATATGAAAGTAAGCAACACAAGGCTTTACCATGGCCAGTCGGATGTTTTTATTTCTTCAGCTATAATATATATATATAGATAGATAGAGATAGATATATAGATAGATAGAGAGATATATAGATAGATAGATAGACATACATACTATAATTTGTTGTATAAAATACTTTTGTTACAGAGACATACAAAATAAGTAAACGTATTTGGCCTGTCTGGTGTTCAAAAACAGTCCTGTTTTTTTTTTCACGTTTAAGCGCAGTACGCCATAGCAACCGTTCAAAACAACAAAGGATTTCAGCTTTCAGTTTCAGTCTAAACTGAAAGGTGAAATCGTATTGGCCAGTGTGGATGGCTGCACGTCATTGTACTTTGCATCTTATTGATTAAGTCTGTGCTTACTTTCCATAATTCAAACTCATGCTTCAGTGTTGATGCATAGAAATGGAACTTATAGATTTTAGGGCACATCTCCTAGCTGTATGCTCTCACAAGACCCATCTCACTGGAGCAAAATGCACCCATGTATGAAGCAATATCCACTCTTTCCATCTTATTAGGTCTTTATTGATAGAAGAAAATATTTTTTGCATGTGTGTTGCAAAGGAAAAAAAATATAATATTTTGTTATTCCTAGGCCTGACCCCACTATTTCTGGCCCCATGCTACTTAAGCAAGGGGTTATGCACCTTTTGAACCTTGCCCTGAAAGAAAATCACGAGTTAAAGTAGAACTAAAGGCAAAAGTTTTTTTTTTTATTATTTTGGATAGCGTAAGGACGGTTATAACCCATGTAAGTTTTATTTTTGCCATCTGTCCCATTGAGGAGATTCACCTTCACTTTATGTGCCATTGCCAAAACAGGAAGTGAGAGGAAAGTCCCTGCAAATTAAGGGAATCTCTTGGGAATCCCCAGGTCCCAGAACTTGTGTCCCTATTTGGAAGATTTCTCCTCTTATTACTTTTCTGGGAACAACCCCAAATTTGGGATTTTCTTTACTTTCCTGTTCACTGATAATGGTAAACAGGACAAATAGAGGGCGATACTCCCTATCGAGGGCACAGGCAGCAATAACAACTGACAGGTGTTCTAATCCATCTCCGCTCTGTCCAAAATTTTTGTTATAAGTTTTGTTATACTGTACTGTAAGCTATTTCTACTCACACAGGATTTAGCTTATTTGTAGCTTGCAACTCTTTATATAGCCAAGGACTATGTAAAATGTAAGGACTTCTCTTAAAACTGTAAAGCATTTGTGAGTACACCTTTTTTCTAAGGGATGTGTTGAAGAGAATACCCATAGAATGGAAGGCTTATCTGTAGCAGTATGTACCAAACAAAAAACATTCTTTCTCAGAGTGGCTGATGTCACTGAAGGAAGGAGAATTCTGGCTACTTTAACTTCTAGGGGAGCTGAAGTACATATGTCATGAAATAAAACTAATAAAACAAGCACTGGTCTTAATTCCCATATGAACGTATCTTCAGAAATTTACAAAAGTGCCACAGGACCCCTGAAACTTTATTGTGCTGCTCTAATCTGCAGCCATTGAAACGTCTTAGAAGGCCATCCGACCACCTTTCATACTTTATGCTATCGCCCATTGAAGAGTCCATGTCTGGCATAGAACAAGCATGCAGAAGAAGGGTTATTTAATGTTGGGATATAATATTGGGGTTAGGTCAGATGAAGGGTTAAAGTGAGCCTTTCTGTTAAAATTTTTTTTTTTAAAAAAACCCCACCAAACACAGCTTGGTAGTATCCTTCCGTGACTGTACTTCTTTTTACCATTTCTTTCTTGCCACTAAAAGTCATGAACAATCGTCAACAAAGCCTAGCATTATCATTAATGGTACAATAAATGGTAAACAGGAATGCATAGACAGCAAAAAACAGTTCTAAGCATCCCTCTGTTTTTTTCGTGTCTTTATTAAAGACATTTTTCACCACTTCCTGTTCAGATAGGAAGTGAGTAGAACTCTTCTCAACTGATACACAAGTGGCAATAAAGGTGGAAATAAAATATTTTTTTTGGGGGGGGGGTTTAAGTTTAAAGCTAAGAGCTTATCATAAGTGTTAGGTTAAAGCATATCTAAAGCCAAAACATTTTCCTTTTGATAAAGCAGGGAATACGTAAACCCCCTTCTCATTTTTGCTATCTGTATCTGATTGGGGACATTCAACTTCACTATGTGTCCTGGAGACTCAGCAGTGAGAGGAAATCTTGCCAAAGTTTGTAGAAATTCTTAGACAACTGTCATCTTCTCTTCTAAAGACAACACTAGAATTTTCAGTTCGATGTCACTTCTTTCCCAGTGACTATGATCAGAAACAGTTGATGCTTAAAATACATTTAAAGTTTTAGGCATTGGGGGGTGGAAGAGGGTCAAGTGTTGGGTCAAGGGGGCTAAGAGTAAAAGAGCTCATATTGGATGTCAGGTTAATAGAGTAGGTATAAAGAGAGTTAAGCTTTTTGGTACCATTCATGTTTAGGGACACGTTAGGGAACTTGATGGCTTTGTACTGTTTTGGTACTAAAGACCCAAGGCCAAAAACAAATTTACCAAATAGGAAGTTTCAGGGGGCCAAGCCAGCTTGAGCATTACAAAAAAAAGTGGCAACATTTGTAGGTTAGAGTGGTGACCTTTTGGAGTTCTCATGGTGCAAAGATTTCTGAAATACGTGGCAACTCTAGTTGCCTGTACAATAATAGCTGACAGGTGTACTTTAAGGGCCAGTGTTGACTGGCTTTTAGTGGTGTCAAAGGACAAATACAGCTTGCCTTTGCAATCAGTTTGACATGATCCTAAGATCATTCAGAATTGAAGACAGGTGCATTTGACTAGTAGTTGATATCTTCCTGGCCTGCATTTGACCTGATTCAAGTTGCTTTTGAATTTCCAACAACTTGTATGGTAAATAATAATGGTGCAAAATAAAGATGGTTGACATAGACACTAATGGTAAACTGTCACAAAGCAAAACACCTGTGTGTGTATAGGCTCTGAAAGAATCAGCCCATTCCCTGACTCATGAGTTTATGATCAAATCAGTGTTTTCCATCTTGATGGGCTGCAACAGTACAGCTCTCCCTTTTTGGGTAAGTGGAAACAGTTTAACAAGCCTCTGGACAACTTTTTTGTGTTCAATTTACACAGACTATACACATTTTTATTCAGGATTATGTTAGTAATTACTTCTTTAGTGAGAACAAAGGCCTTTTCCTTTGAGTTTTATCACCTTTGAACTTTTGTTTAGTTACACAATTTTCCTGATAAGATTTCAGGGTACAGAAAATTTAAATCTGCAGCTTACATATATTTCCTGTGGGTTCTGTTTTTTCTCTTTTTTAGGTAATTCTTTTTTGCCCCCATAGGTGAACGTCCTTTTCCATGCACATGGCCAGACTGCCTTAAAAAGTTCTCTCGATCTGATGAGCTGACCCGCCATTACCGAACCCACACAGGAGAGAAGCAGTTTCGATGTCCCTTGTGCGAGAGAAGCGGTTCATGAGGAGTGACCACTTGACCAAGCATGCCCGCCGCCACACAGATTTCCATCCCAGCATGATCAAAAGGTCCAAGAGGTCCAGTTCAGCTTTTATCTGAATACTGCATCTTTGAGTCAACAAAGCTGTCACACAAAATTTCAGCTGCTGTACATATCATCTTCTTGCATCTTTTCAAAAGAAATGTAGCAGTTTTAAAATCCATGCTTCTGCAGCAGTTATATTAAAGGAAAATGCTGCCCAGTTTCTTTTGGTGGCACACGAATCTAGGTATTTTTTGTAGTGGTGTAATCTGTACCATCACGGTTTTGACTGTAAGATCTTTTGTGCTTGCGCTGGCATGAATATGTGTTTATGAAATAGAAACCACAATGGATCAGCTTTACATTTGTGAAAGGAGTACGAGAACACGTACTTACAAATATAAGGGAATACTTTTTTGTTTCTTTTTTGATGAAACCGTATGGTATTTGGAACATATACATCTTATGAAGCGAGCAGGTATAGAGTATACTTGAACCTGGTTTCTTGTGGATTATTGTCTTACAATGTCTTGAAATATGTGTTTTATTGTTGATGGAATACTAGTCTCCCACTATTATGGACCTCATCAGTCACCTAGTTTGACTTGACTTATAAGGTGCACTTTATAGGACCAGCACCATCCCTTATTCCTTGGAGCATGGTGAACAGCAATGGAACTTAAGTACACTAAGGACTGGAACTCTTAGAGGATGAAAGCCTTGTTGTTTTACCTGTCATGTTGTAGGTTGATGAAAAAGAGCTGTTATTGGGAGACGCAATGCTCAGTAATCATACTGTATATAGTTTGCAGTATCTTAAGATAAATGTCCTTCCATGGATATATTCACACCTTACCCAGCTTTTGAGCAGGCTATCTCTATGTCTGCTTTGAGTGCATCTGTTGAAGAATGACACACAGCTCCACAGAAGACTCTGAAAGAACTCATATGCCTTTACCCTGCAAGTTTAGAATAATATCAGAGGGTCATTTTATTACACCTGTAGGTTGCTATGCACATTTTATATCTCACATAGCAACGAGGAACAGTTTTTGCAAAACCAGAATGTTTGATTCAGCTTTTGACAGCAGCGATGCCATCTTTTCAGTGCTTTAAGAGACTAAGCACTGAAACACTGGGCAGTGCAAACTTGCAAGGAGTCTTTAGATCAATTCCAGGCAAATGGTCTGTCACTGCATCCACTACAGTATCGCACTTTCTGATTGTGTGACGGCACTCTGCATGTACAGACTGACAGAAAGTGTCATTCTTTTAAATGCCTCACAATTGTGTCATTTAGGTTCTTGATCTAATTATTCAATTCACGTTTACATAACTTCATTTGGTAGCCAGAAGCACCAAATGGAATGAAGACTTTTTTGCACCTTATGTTTCCTATTTCACATGACGCCTATAGACTTTTTCCATACCTGAGAGGCTGCTTATTGGTGTGGTAGGCCTCTCCAGTTGTGAGGGGGGATAACTATGCAGAATCTGGCCAGACAGGTGGTTTACAAATTTATGTGTCTGTACTTAAAAAGTTAGGTTCATTCCTTAGTATAAGCACTCCAATCATTCTTTTTTGAAATAGTAGAAAGGACTGTTGTGAGTAACTCCACACTATCAGCTATTTGCCTTATAGCTATCCTACTAATTAAATTATAGGGATGCCATGTCACAACGCATTACTAACAAGGCCAGTCAGGTTTTGTACATGATGTTTCTGATTCACTTAGCCTTTATAACAATTACATATATGCACGGGGATAAAATATTAGCTGTAGTTCCGACCCCCTTCATAAAATATTATAATTACCCTTGGGACAGTTTTATAATCATGCAAGTGCCAAGGGTCTCCCTTTTTATAACATTTTGTACAATTTTCAAAGGCCTTTAGTGCCTATTTTATTTGGTGTCTTTCAGATTTTTTTTTTTCCAGCTGGATCGTACATTAGAAGTGCATCTAATGGAGTCTAATGCACGCAGATAAATGCAAGTTACTGGTAAAAAGGTTACAATTCAGATTTAAAGGACCAGAAAACCTAAAATACAAGATTAATCATATCTGAGTTCTGAATAATAGCCACAGTCAGTCACAATATGGCATATTCTGCAAGGCAGGACAAAGAACAGGTCTGCAAATTGCAGTAACCCGTTGCAGTAAGTTGGATTGCAGTTTACTGAAATCATATTGCTGAATGCTGGGAACATTTTTGTATTTCTTATGGTTAACCACTTGCCACCTGTAGGATGTTATATGATGTCCTAGGGTTTCAGTGGTTATACCGGGATGATGCCGGAACCTGCAGGCATCATCCCAGTATCCACATTTTCAGCTGGCGATTCCCTTTATAGTAGAAGTGATTTGAGTGGCTATAGAGACCACCCCCCTCCCACCACTGCCTTTTCTGGGCTCTCATGTTCATTCTGGGAGCCCAGGACTGCTCCAATCAGTGGAATCCTGGGTCTGAACAGAGAGGAACTTATGTTGTTCCTCCCTCTATGTGAGATTAGAAACCAGAGGTGACAAGGATTCCGGCACTTCAATTTGGTTTATTGTTTCCAAGTTGTTACCAGCTTGTACAAGCATCTGATTGAACCAGTCTTGGTTGGATTAGATGCTTTGGAGGCAAGAGGAGACATCTGGGGGTGTAATAGACACCAGGTCTCTTCATAAAGAGGACCTGTCACGGACCATGCTATGCAAAGGATGTTGTTTCTCCCTTGTGATAGAGATAAAGTTGATAAAAAAAAGGGTACAGTAAAAAAAAAGTTTTAAATAAAAATACAATTTTTTTAAAAAAATTCCTGTCTCCCTGTGCTCCCGCCCAAATGCTGATCACACCACTCATGTGAGGTATCGCTGTAAACGACAGAGCAAGAGCACTAATTTTAGGTCCAGGCCTCCTGTGTAACTGTAAACTGGTAACCTCTAAAGGCTTTAAAGCATTGCCTATGGAGACTTTTAGGTACCATCATTTGGCGCTGTTCCATGGACGCATGCAATTTTAAAGCGGACATGTTTGGTATCTATTTACTCAGTGTAATATGTTTTATATTTTCCTAAAAATTGGGTACAATATTGTGTTAGTGTGCACTTTAATTAAATTGTATTTTTCCCCAAACCACTACACAAATACCACATTACATAAAAATGCAACACCCATCATTTTATTCTCTAGTGCAGCTGCTTAAAAAAAATGTATAATGTTTGGGGGGGGGGGGGTTCTAAGTAATTTTTTTTTTTTTTTTTTTTAGCAAAAATGGTGATTTTTACATGTATGCCTGGGTGGTAAGTGGTTAAAAGATGTCTTCAGACTGCTACTATGAGGTACTGCACTTTGCTATTTGGTCAGCCTTATTGAATATGCCTGTATATGTTGGGCTAGTCTTCTGTTTGCAGGCAGAGCTATTTTGGATTGCACAGCTGACTTCCTATCCTGTAGTCAGCACTGCAGTCAGCCTATCATCAGCCTGCCTTGGATGATAACATTAGACACTGCACAGCCTATTTTTGCAAATATACTCTGTTAATGTAGGAGGCTTTTATGTATGTATTTGTGCATTAATAATATGACCTCTTTATTTTAAGTGTTTAATTTAGGGTTATTATCCCCATCAATACAATTTAAATATCAGTAGTTAGAGGGGCAGTGGAAAGAACATTTTTCTTGTGCACTGAAAATTCGTTTTTTCAAAAGCAATTAGAGCCATATTAGATTTTAAAAAGAACTAAATTATCAAAATATAATCCTTCTCGTTTACTGGTGAAACTATTTGAGGTACAGCACAGTAGGCACTTTGTTTTCTGTTTTATTTAATGTGTATCCTTGATCAGAAATTATTATTATTATACAGTGTGCAATCTTTTGTTAGTCATTAGGCCATATAAAAACTGTTGCAAAAAAAAAAAAAAAAGAAAAAGAAAAAGAAAAAAAATCAACAACAACACTACAGTTCAATAAACTATGAAACAGGAATGTCAGGAAAAAATAACATTATACACTTTCTACCTCTGTTTCAGTTTTTGAAACACCCAATTCTTTATTCCGTATAGCCGAGTAATTCTTCCAGTCAAGGTAGCCAGATTAAGGAAAAAAAAAACTAAAAAAAAATATTGTATGGTTTGGTTTTACGATTTCTGTTTTACTGCCAGGGGCAGCATGTGGTTTTAGTGGGAGATCTTTTAAAAAGGCTAAATGAGGACAACTACAAGCATTTCTGGTTTTGCACATCGAGCAGAAGGAAAAGAAAAAAAAAAAAAACTTAACGTCATCAACAAGCACAAATTATATACAGTGACTTATGGAAATAAAGAAAGAAACTTGTGGGGTTTTTTTGCATTCATGTTCAAACACAAGCACCCTTATTCTGTATGTAATTGTTGCAGATAAGATTTGTTTTTCAAGATAAAATGATGTTTGTCTGTTAAGTATTTGACATAAGATCTTTGAGCATTGTATTTACAGCGTCCTGACTTGCTTTAAGGTGTATAGAAATATTACAGGTTTAAATTGGATTTATAGTGGTTAAGTATGACAAGTTGTATAAATAGAGCTTCAACGTTTCAGCTTATAAGTACAAAAGAAAAACATCATTTAAGTCATTATAATTTTAAGATAAGTGAACTTTAGTCTAAGTGACGTTAAGGAAATGTTTATTTTGTGATTGAATTACAAAGCATGTGTCTTCTTTACCACTTCTGAAACCAACATTTTTATAACATTTTTATAACATTTTGCTGTGGCTTTAAATCAAATGGGGCTGCTTATGCTCCATAATGTCAGATTCAGGAATTCTAATACATTTTCTCATGCATGTTCCTGTTCTACAGAATTACATCATCATGCTTTTTTTTTTTTTTTTTTTTAACATAAACTGTATGTAATGCTCAGTACAAGACTGGCAAACAGTAGTAAACATTCCATGAAAGTAACCAAACCTAGCCCTTGAGTGGCAGAAGAAATCAAACCATACATATGATTCAACAGTAGTTTTTTTTCTCAACTACAGTACAGCCTCTAGTCATTATCACTGTAGGAACGTGACTTTGGGCAGTGAATGCCTAGTCATCCTTCTGTATACTTGCATTTTTTAATTAATTGGACTTTTTGCTTTTTCTCAACTTCACATAAGGTTTTCTTTTTCTTCTGTGTTTCACAAATTTGATTAGGTTTGCGCTAGCTGCTATAGGCATTCGACTTGACAGAAAATTAGCAATTTGGAAACTCATACCAAAGCCCAACCGAACATTTGGATTAAATCAGCTAAATACATTCTAGGTGCATTAGAACAAGAGGTGTACAGAGTCTTATAGTTTATAGTCTTATAGTATAGTTTTTACTCGGGATGTGGTTGCATGCAGCAATCACAGCCTGGTGTAAAAAAAAAAACGTCTGTCCCCTGCCAACATGCTGTAGAGCAGGGGTCCCCAAACTATGGCCCTCCAGGTGTTGAGGAACTGCAAGTTCCATGAGGTCTTTCAAGACTCTGACAGCCACAGGCAAGACTCCCAGAGGCAGAGGCATGATGGGAATTGTAGTGCTTCAACAGCTGGAGGGCCATAGTTTGGAGACCCCTGCTGTAGAGTAAGACCCTTGTACTGTGTGTAGAAGCAGTTATCTCCTTTATCTCCTTGCAGAGGTTAGACAAGACCCATGCGGAGTCAGACCTAGAGCTCTGCAATCAACAAGCTGATGCTCCCTGCAGATTGGAGAACTCTAGGTTTCACTCAGCAAGCGGGGGGGGGGGGGGGGGGGGGGTTGGGGGTGTCAGACCTCTGTAGAGAGACTACTGGTTTCTACACAGAGAGGTATGGTTCTTCTCTTAGAATATGTTGACAGGTGACAGGTATTTCAACTTAAGATGTGGCTGCTTTGTAAGAAAAAAAAACGAAATGTAAGATTTCCCACACATTTTTTATTAATGCACCTGGAAAGCATTTAGCTGATTTAAACTAAAAGTTTAGGCTTTGGTTGCTGAGACAATATTTACTGTATAGAAGGAAGTATGCCAAGGATGTTTTAGATAGACATAATATCAATACATTACAGGAGTAGTCTTTACAATAGAGAGTGGAGATGTTGACTTATATCAACCTATCATGCATTTAAAATGTTTTTGAGATGAAAATAAATTATTGATCATTGTTTTGTCTTCCAGGACCCTAGGTGATAAGAATCCTTCAATTCTAAATCTTTACATCCCCATGCACAGGCCCTGAATTACAAACAAAATTGTAATATAAGATGTATGTAAGATGACTATTGATGTCTCTAGAATGATATTGGTGATCATGCTGGTTATAGACCAAGACTACACTGTAAAGAAGGTTAGAAACATCCAATCCTGTTTGTTAATTTTGTTTCCAAAGTTGACCTATATACTCTCTTTGGCTGCTGTGGCCATCACCTCCACTGTATAGGATACCTTCGTTTATAAGCAGTGATCACTGGCCACTATCATCTGCCATCTATACCTTTATAGGATTTTTCCACTTGTGGTACCTACATACAAAAGGGTGCCTTTATAAAGATCATCAAGATAACTGCTTTATAAGTTTAAAATGTTTGACATGGACAGTTGCTATATAAAAGTGAAATTTATAAATGCTAAAAAGTAAAAAAAAACCTGGCAAAATATAGTTCAAAGAAACATTGACGCTGCCTTGAAGGAAGTTCTTTTAAGATCTCTCAATACAAAATAATTATACCAAGTAAAGGGTGGTAAAAATGAATCCATAACTTTTTAAATGTATAACAAAATCTTGTTGGTTAATTGGCTAAATATATTTATAAAATAGATTTGGCTGGACATGTTTCATGTTTTTCAAATATGTTTGTCTAGTGCAGCTTTATCAAAAGAAATAAAATATACAAAATTGATGATCCCTGAATAAAAATAGGAGGCCTGAGTTTTGACATTTTTAGAATTATATTTCTTGGCGCCAGCGCCTCCCGGCCTTTAAGGGGTTTGTGACACCAGGAGGCGGGTCAGGGTTTAGGGTTCATGTGACCGCCATGATTGGCTGTCACGGTAGTCACATGATCGGAAAGCTCCCAACCACAAGTAGCGATCGGGACCTTTCTGTGAGGCATCGGTAAATGTGCCAGGAGCGTGCAGGGCATGCACTCTCGGCATATCTTTTGTTTACACTGTGTATGCAAATATGCGGCCCCTCGGCGCTAAGGCCCAGCTGCTGAGAGGCTGCAGATTTGTGTGTTCTCAGTGTCAAAGAGTTAAACAAGAGAGCCTCATGAAATATAATTGTAAAGGAAAACAAGAAGTGTAATGTTTTAAATCCACTTACCTCCATGCTGTCTGAGATCCAGGGCTACTAAATTTCTGCCCAAATTGCCGTGGACTGCTAGTTCAGTGCTTTCAGCCTACCTACTTTTTGTTGCTTCTTTTTATATGGAATTAATTGCAGCAATAGAAGTCTAAACGTTACTAGTTCCATTTCCAAAATTGCAAGGCCTGGAAGTAGAAGGCATCAGGAAAATAAGCATTGTTTTAAAGGTACTTCCGCATTTACAATTTGGACAGATCTCACACAGGACAGTATGGAAGTAAATGTATTTAACTCATAACTTTAACTTTCCAGTTACATTTCCTGGATCACTGCTCTAAACATGTTCAGCTATATCTTGGATTTACTGTATGTTCTGTTATGTCTGATATTTCCTAAATGTGTTTTTATATCCCTTTCCATCTGTCAAACTATTAATTGAGCACCCTAATATCAACATTTTTATATGAGCTTACTTTTGGCCAAACCAGCATAGAAAAAGTGTTGAGAACAAGATTTCCTGCCTTCCTTTCCTATAAATAAAACTACAAACCCCATTTTATTTCATTTTTAAAGACTTATCAGCACACTCCACTTATCATAATACAAATGTGTGTAAAGTATCCATATAGAATTCTGCAATAAAATCAGGACCATGGTGCAGCAAATACATTTTTAACTGTGTATGGCACAAAGATAATTCACTATTTTATATTTTGCTTTGCAGCAACAAGGATTTCTTTTTAGAAAAGGGAAAACTGGTGCTCCACTTAGTGCCAGAAACTTGTAATTAGAGGCCTCACATGATTTTAAAGCACCAACTTAACTGGCAAAACTGTTTTCTTTGGAAATTGTTATATCATAACTTGGAGGTCCTTCAGAGCTCTTGTGGCCAGTGATCTGTAGCATACTGCTGAGTTATGAACCTTAAATGTCATGAATCTAACAATTTTGTTATAGCACTCTATAGTAAAAAAAAAGATCATTATGTATTGTTGAGAATTGGAAAAAAAAACTTGAATAATTGATTTTGCTACAACAGATATTGTAAAGGACATTAAATAATGAAGAATTACTCGTTGGAAATTCCAGTTCTGTTTGATCCAATCATCTTACGTCTAGTCTTCCAGAATAGTTGCTACTCAAGCACCAGTTCTGAAAGAGTGGTAAGATATTACCGAGGTTAAATGCAGATCAATAACTTGCAATTTTCTAGCATAGTCATTTCTGCAACTGTTTAATTTTTACAATGTTTTTTGTATAGTTTCATAAGTTATTTCTGCTGTCTTTTGGTTTTGGAAAGCAAATGGAATTGTTTAATGAAATGGTAGAACAACCCTATTTTGTACAAGTGTATATAAATTGTTCCAATAAAAAATGCCATTCAAATATGAATCAGCTTTGTCAAATGTCCTTCTGTTAAAGAAGCATTTATAACAAGTAGTTAACTTTAAGGTGACACAGTAGTGATCAGTAGGGAAATCTGGGCTTTATATACCTATATTGCACCGTAACACCTGCTACTGCAGTGCAATGGTGTGAATGGTCTCATAAAGTGATTGTAAACCTCAGACATGAAATATGAACAAAGCATACCCCTCTATAGGGTGTACTTGTCTCAAATCACTAAGCATCATTTCTGTCTGCTGCTTCATTCCACTGCTATCAGCATGAATTACTTCTGACACGTTTTCCTGGACCAAGCGAAAAATGGTGACAGGGGAGGGACTTCAAGCACACAGCCTGTGGTTGACAGTCTCTGCTCTGTTTGCTGTGTGAAGGGTAATGTATCCCTTCCCTTCAATCAGCTCTCAGAGCTCTTCTCACTGAGCTCTACTGTGTATAATTTCAGTTCTCTGCCCACTATTTTCCAAAAGTTCAGACAAGCTTTATAAATTCTGGACTCTGAACTGATGTAGAGAAGAGAAGGCTGCAAATAAACAGGGGTACAACATATGTAGGCACATTGGTTTCAACTCTGTGTATTATCTGAGGCTATTCACTGCATTGGGTATATGTAAGGGTTACAACCACAGAGCTTCATATGGGGTCAATCTGAGAGCAGTAGAAGTGTTCTTCCAGAAGCCTTTGTCATGTAACTTCCTCTTGCTCTGCTACTTGCATCTTCACTGTCAGACTTTAAAAGTAGCTTTACATTGGATTGGTGGCTGTGATACAGGAGGGTGTTCTAGCAGACAAAAGGAGGTTGGTGAACCACTGAAGTACAGCAATGTCTGGATGAAAAATATAACTACTCAGGAGATGGATTTTGCTCCCTGCATGCAGCACAGATTTTGAAGTGGAACTAAAAACTCGCAATCAGCATTATCTATATTTAATCTTTTATGCTGCTAGCATTACTAAATAGATAGGAAGGTATATTATTTTTACTTGTTTTAACCATTTTTACACGTCTTCAGTTTCTTCCTGGTTTCTGGCCTAGGCCAAAATGATGTCATACATCCCTGCAATCTTCATGGCCATTTTTTTTTTCTTTCATCTGGAGGATGGACTTTCTCAACTAAGCACACCCTCCTGCAAGCCAGAGATAAGGCAGATGGATTCCAGGAAGTAAATGCTACGTGAATCATCTGCCCTTATCCAAGATGGGCACAGCAAGAAATGCTAGGGGGCGTTTTTCAAAGTGACATTACAACAAAATAAAGCATGGAGACATGGATTGATGGGTGGGTTTGCTGTGAATATTAAAAATGAAATAAATTGGGTTTTCAGTTTGTGGTGCTCGGATATAGTTGAGTTCTGTTTTAATATTCAATTTTGACTGGAGGTTTACCTTTTAACCTTACCTAAAATAGGAAGGCCCTTCTTGTTCTAAAAGCAATATTGCTTTTAGAAAAAAAAGGGCCTTCCTTTTTTAGTATTCTATTCCATTTTTTTGTAAACGTTTTACATATTTCAAGACAAAAAAGAACAAAAAATACACTTTCTAGTTTTACCCAACGAATGCTTTAAAAAAAAGCTACATTTTACGTTCAATATTTTTAAATAAGCAATAGATGATAGGGCCATTGTAAATCAATCCAAATAGGGAGTTATAGTTATTTCACATACAGAATGAAAATAAACAATAATCAATGTATATAATGCACAAATGGTTGGGGAAGCAATTCAGCATAAAGTTTTGTGAAAACTGGAGTCTAGGTTTTTTTCTTCTACATAAAACACATCATCAAAAAAGTTCCTGTTGATCGTTAGTGCCATGAAGGCAAAGACCCATTTACTCAACAAGTAGAGAGGAAAGGCATAAAAAGGATAGAACAGGAAATGAAGAAAAATAGGGAAAGGAGTGGAAGATAGACTTAGAGATCTCCATTAATGCCTAGGTCTACAGCTGGTTAATACTCAAGTGTTTTTTTCAAATGGTTTCACCTCATCATTAAATTACACCTTATTTTAACCACAGCCAATACTTAAAGATGTTACTAAACCCACAACAGTAGAATCTTGGATTTCTCTTGTACGAGGAAAATCTCTTACAACTGCACTGTGACTACAAGGTTCTTCCTCCACTTGACTCAAACCACAAAGGATTCTGGTTGCTTTAGGAATTGGTAGCCCCTCTCCATGAGGAACTGGACGTATTGTCGATGGAATATTTGGAACTACAGATAACTTTTTCTTCTTATTTAGCCGTTGTTACAATTGGAGGCACCATACAAAAAGTAACAATTGGTTATCACATGTCTGTATGCAGTGAAGCATGCTTCTTATACTCACTGTGGAACCTAGGGGGTTAATCCTCTGCATTGTGTAAAAAGGCAGTGAAGCATGCTTCAAATTATACTCACTGTGGAACCTAATGATACATAATGGGGTTAATCCTCTGCATTGTGTACCAAGAAAAAAAAGGATGTTTAATCCTGTCTTCTCTGCTTCTCCTCCCCTTCGAGGAAAGGGCTTCTCACATTGACTACACCCATTTCATCTCCTAGGATAGCCCCTCTCCAACACGGCTCGAGTTTGGTGTGCACAGTAACTGCGTTTTTACAATTGGAGGATGATCTTGGCTTTTCCAAATCTTGGCGAAAGGATGCCTTTTTTTCCATTCAACCATTGCTCCATGTGAATTGCAGCATACAGCCCAGCTCTTGTCCTGGTCTCCTATCTTGCAGCAGTTGTAGGCTTTCTTAATCATTTACTAAAAGTTATTTAATTGCAGTTCTAGTTGCATTACTGAGTGTATACTAAGTAAAACGAAATGGAGACTAGATACTGCAGCTTTTACTGAATGCAGGGTCCTGGGTTTAGTAACACTTTAACCCACCTTTATAGGCAAATTTTTGCTTTACAGTATTGCCCAAAATTTGTTGGATAAAGAAATGGGGACTAGATAAAAGGTGGAGTTACCCACATAAAACAGTAAAATTTTGACCATAAAACAAAATTTTTAATTAAAATATTGTAGTGTGGACATGCAAGGCTCTACAATTTAAATTATACCCTAGATTCAAACAATTTTCTAATCAAATCATATGTGAAAGATGTGAATCTTGGGTAAACACACTGACCCCATAAAATGGTTTTTCTTAGTGGTTTTAGCAATGTTAACTGGTCTGGGTACACTTCTACTTTACATATTTTAAAATATTCAAACAATATCTATAGCCAAAATGTAGAAACATTTATTTCCACATTGTATTTCAGTTATTTCCAGCCTACTCCTGTTAATCTGAACCAACATAAAGACTGTAAACTTACTTTGTGAAGATCCCAAAAAATGTAGTTCCTTGAATTCTGTGACATTTATTCACTATGTTCTGTAATTAGGCCCTGCTGTGTCACACATTTCACAGAGCCTGCATTCTGAAGAGAAGGGGTTTCAGCAAGGAAACATGGGACATGTAGTCCTTAGAAATTAAAAGTAAACAGCAGAGGAGAAGCTACAAAGCATGCAGGGAATCCAGGAAGTTGTGGGAAAGAGATGCCCAGCAGGCAGGCAGAACTCACAACATGAAAGGAGATTTTTCAAGTAACATTATATTGGATTGTCAAATATAACTATTGTTTGTATTGTTATTACAGTGCTGATGTTATAAAATTACAGTGTATGTTGTGACCATAGATTTTCTTTAATCTGTTTTTCAAAATTCATTAAACTGTGAAAAAAACATAAGATAAGTGTATCAAAAACTGTTGTATGATCTTTCAGGTGTAGATAAAATAAATACAGTTTCAAAGTGGACTGGAGGCTCAGTACATAATTATCCTAATTGCATAGGAACAGGAATATAAAAGAAAAAATAAAGAGAAGCGGAACTATCAGAAAAGAGGAAGGAAAACATTGTTTGGTGTGTTACAGTGAAATGTAGTTGGTCTTATCTAAACCCAAAAACAAAAAAATAACATATTGTAACCTATCAATTCTTATATATTGTAGATGCCTTAGTTTTCTGTTTTTAGTCTGTTTTTTTTATATTTTCCCCAGGTGGTCTGGTCAGTAACACACTTCCTGTCTGGCTCCATTCACACTTGCACGCCTTGTCATGCGACTTTGGGCACATAGAGCCGCATGACAAGTTGCAGACCATTGTTTTCAATGGCACCCATTCAGATCTAGGTGACCTAAAGTGGAGTTCCAACCGTTTTTGTGTTCGTTAAAAGTCATCAGCTACAAAAACTGTATCTACAAAGTATTGACTCGGGGAGGGGGGGCTGAATACAAATGCACACCACAAGTTTTAGATATTTATTTGTAAACAATTTTAAAATCATTTTTAATTTTCCTTCCACTTCACAATTATGTGTCAATTTGTGTCGATCTGTCACATATAATCCCCAAAAAATACATTTACGTTTTTGGTTGTAACATGACAAAATGTGGAAGATTTCAAGGGGCATGAATACTTTTTCAAGGCACTATAAATGCATGTCATCAGGACAGAGCAATGGCAATTTAATTTTCCATCTGACAGTGCCTGGATAGCTTTGTCACAGACGTGGCTTGGCAGAGACCGTGGCTCAAGACCAGTAGAGCCTCTCTTCATCCAGGCAAGTAACCTTTGACTTTTTTTCAGCTGTCTGTAAACAGGACCTTCTTTTACTGACTACCGATGTAAGGAGATATTCTTTCCTCTGACACCCAGTGTAATATGCCATTCTTCCCAGTGACCATTAATGTAAAGATCTTTTCTCACTGACTGCCAATGCATGGGTCATTCTTTCCCTTGACCCCTTATGCAACGGGACAGTCTTCCTTCTGACCATCAATATAAGAGGGTCCTTTTTTACTGACCACCAATGTAACAAACATGTTTTCCTTTTTCCCAAATGTAACAGGACAATATTCCCAAGAAGCATCAGTGTAAGGTTTTTCTTCTCTCGTGGTCCTCCAATATAAGGAACAATTTTCTATTCACCTCCAATGTAAGCTAGCACTTTTCTACCATCCACCAATGTAAAGGGACTCTACACTTTTTTTTTACAGTCTGCGTTCCCTTTCTGGCAATTGTTCATTATAGAGAATAAGCTCGTCTAGTGCAGGAAGATGTTACATATGCTAGGTAAGCCATAATCGTCATTCTATTATATCTATAACTTGCTGAATATGCTAATGTTCGATGTGCTATAGTTACAGTATATGATTGTTTTTTTTTAGCAGGGATTCCCTGAGACCTGAAAATTATTTCAAGCAGTCCCCAGTGGAAAAAGGTAGAAAAAGGCTCTTCTAACAGTGATGAGCTTGTTAAAGTACTAAAAAGCAATGAGTTCATGTAAAAGTAAACGGTTAAAGTACTAAAGGTGTGATAAATTACTGTTGCTAGTATTCCCAAACTAAAAAGACTTGATGCTGGCCACCCCAATGACCACTAGCAGCTTGGTTAAAGCAGGCTAATGCTGAAATAATAACATAAATGCATGTGAACAGCCTTACATAAGTGGGTAGGAAGTCATCAAAGCTAAAATGCTTCCCATAAATGGAGAAAAAACTGTTCCATGCTTCCTCCAGTGCTGCTCAGGTAGAGAAAGGCAAAGCATTTTATTTCATGATCTCTGCTAAAGGGGACGATCACATTTTTGACAAGCTGAGGTCACCTTTTGTTATGTGAGCAGCAGCATTGGAGGGCATTTGAAGCATCATTTTTTCTAGAAAATGTAAGCATCTCCGCTATTCTATAAAGAAAAGATTCAGTTAACTGCTGCCGTCTCAGCTGTACACATTTTTCTCTTCTCATTCCTTGAGCTAAGTGCATTTTTTCTTTGCAAAGTGAGTTTTCACTTAGATTAAGGAATGTGGTAAACATGCTGACTTCAATGACCCAACCATGTTCAAGCAAAGACCGTTTTTGTCTTTAATGTTCCTTGCACATGATTGGATATTTTTTACAAAATAGCTTGCTCTTTCTATAGTAAATCAGGGTCAATGCTTCCAATATTTTTTTAGTAGGGCTACATAGACAATTAGGTTCCCTTGCTACTAAGAGATTTTTATTACTTGACAACTTCATTAACCGCTTTCCCGCTGCCCTATAGTAGAACTACTGATACAGGGTGGCAGGGCTGTGCAAAGTCACGTATAAACATGATTTGTATTAATGAGTAGGGGGCTCGCACACGCACAATCCTGCCCACGTCGCCATTGGTGGTTAGGGATGTCAATCACCAGGTCCCGGACGGAGATTCCCTGCCGGCACCTGGCGCTCGCCGAGTAAAACTGACAGGGGAGAGAACTGTGTGTAAACAACACAGGTCTCTCTCACACAGATCTCTCCTGCCAGCAAGGACATGCTGCTGTGTATTTCTCTGCTGTGCAGATAAATACACAGTAGCATGTTCCCTTAGTAAAACACTCACAGCACATGATATAAAACAGCACACAGTTAAACCCTTTGATCGCCCCAGATGCTAACCCCTTCCTGCCCAGTGTCATTAGTACAGTGTCAGTGCTTTTTATTAGCACTGATCACTGTATTAGTGTCAATGGGATGTTAGTGGCAGTTACTCAGTTCCCACCCAGTGTCAGAATGCCCGCCGCAGTCCTGCTATAAATCGCTGATCGCCACCATTATTAGTATATAAAAAAAAAAAAAAAAAACAATTCCAGTATAAATATATATACACCGCCATTTGTAAACTCTATAACTTTCACATCAACCAATTAATTTACACATGTTGGGATTTTTTTTTTTTAGCAAAGACATGTAGCAGAATACATTTTAGCCTAAATTTATGAAGAAATTTGATTTTTCATTTTTTTTTACTGGATATGTTTTATAGCAAAAAGTAAAAAATATATTTTTTCCAGAATAGTTTTTTTTTTGTTTATAGCACAAAAAATAAAAAAACGCACAGGTGATCAAATACCACCGAAAGAAAGCTCTAGTAGTGGGAAAAAAGGACATAAATATAATTATGTACAGCATTACATGACCACACAATTGTCAGTTAAAGTAATGCAGCGCCGTATCACAAAAAACGGTCTGGTCAGGAAGGGGGGTAAATCCTCTGGAGGGCAAGTGTTTAAAAGCACATTGATTTCCAGGTGCTCAGAATTAGGTTGCTGCCACCAATTGTACATAACTTAGGATTCATGCTTTTAACTGTCATCCTTGCAATGTCTCATGGGACCTGTAGTTTGGGAACAGCTGGAGGGCCGCTGGTTTGACACCACTGTTCTGAAGAAATATTCCCTCCACTGATGTTGGACATTTTCCACAGCAGTGATCTTCCAGAGCTTATGGGGGGGGATTTAAGATCAGCAACTGCGGCTGTAAAGCCCCCCCCCCCCGTCTTCTATTATTTATTTCAGGTACTTACACAGCACCGTCAATTTACGCTGCACTTTACCTATATATTTCACATTCACATCAGCCCCTAACCCTCAAGGGGTGTACACAATCTAAGGTCCCTAACTCACATTTCATACATACACATACTAGGGCCAATTTAGACAGGAGCCAATTAACCTACCAGCATTTCTTCGGAGTGTGCGAGGAAACTGGAGGGAGTACCCGGAGGAAACCCACGCAGGTACAGGGAGAACATGCAAACTCCTGTCAGGTAGTGCCATAGTTGAGATTTGAACCATTTACCCTAGTGCTAGTAGGTGGAAGTACTAACCACTTGCGTTTAATGAAGGCCTCCGTGCCAGAACTCCCAGGCGTACCCCCTTGGCTTGTCTCCAAAGAATTAGAAGAGT